CACTTTTGCTCCTCTTTTTGGAACTGTTGAAGACATTTTGAGACAAAGGCGACTTTGATCATTTGCTAGAGGTAACTGCACAGGCAGTGGAGCGAGGGCTGACGGGTGATGAATTTTTTACGCCACAGTTTCCTTGTCGTGAAAATCCTGCGAAAAGCTACTAGGAATTGATGGTGTATTGAACATAATGGCAGCCCCAGGACAGCGAAAAGTTATACGTAGGCTAATAGTACTCGTGCAGATATAAGTGCTCTTGTGAAGAAGAATCAATGATGTAATGGATAACACAATACGATTCGAGAGAACTGGAAATAGTGAAAATGAGTGATTCGTTTCCCTCCCTGTTCATAATCATTTGCAAAAAAGGGTTCCGTCTTTGACACAGCCTAAAAAGCTACAGAGACTGAGTTGATGTTAAGCCATCCCAAACTGTTTTGTTATGTATCATATCTGCAGATTTTGGAATCTTACAGGTATCGAGCGCCAGAAATTCTTCTTCGTTCTACCTCCTACAACTCACCAATTGACATCTGGGCTCTTGGCTGCATAATGGCAGAACTGTATATGCTGAGGCCACTATTTCCTGGGACTTCCGAACTAGATCAGTTATTCAAAATAATTACTATTCTGGGGACACCCAATAAGGTACATTTTAGTTTTTCACGTTTTTCGGGAAAAACTCTGACAATTTGCTAGGTGATTTTGAATTCATCTGAAAAATAACGCATATATTAAAAAAGTTGGTGGTGATTCGTGTCTGCATTCCAGGTATATTTATAGCCGTAGAAATGTGATGAGTAGCGTTATGAGTACTTGGAAGCTGTTCGGAAAAGTTGATTTGTAGAAGTACATCTTATTTGAAACTTTTGACGCTCAGTATGGTGATGTGCCCAGCTAGTGAGAAAGAGAATCAGGCTCTTTGAATACTGAAAAGTAGCAAAAATCGCTCCCCTCACGCTCTCAGCAAGCAGATTCCAACAGGACATGGTAAACGTAACGTACTTGACAAAAGGGCGGTCTGAACCAGGTGTTGGCCTCAAAACCTGTGATCAGAATTTTGTGGATTTAAATCTTTGCAGGAGGACTGGCCGGAAGGTTATCAATTAGCTGCCGCAATGAATTTTAAGTTCCAACAAACTGTGCCGACACCGCTTGCGACAGTCGTAAACTCCGTGAGCGACGAGGGTCAAAAGCTAATGGCTGACATGATGCAGTGGAATCCCGAAAAACGGCCAAATGCACTCAGCGTGAGTGCTTCTGCTTAACAAGAACTATTTTCGCTCTCTGAAGCAATTAACACAACTTCAGATTTCGACTCATTCAGAAATCAAAAGTCTCATTTATTTTGAACACTGTAATGGATAATTCAGCGACTGAAAATTATTTTAGTCGCTGAAATATAAATATTTTCTGGTTGGTCAAAAACTGGGAGCTCCAGTA